TCAACGCAGCCACCTCCTCCAAGAGATTAAGAAGAGTGCAAGGGCGCCCGGTTAGCTCAGTCGGTAGAGCTGGTGACCCATATACGCAGTGGCCCAGGTTCGAGTCTGACCTGCGGCCCTTTGCTGCATGTCGACCTCTCTCTCTGCCCCCCTTTCCTCTCTATCAAATAAAGGCCAAAAAAATAATACTAAAAAAAAGAAAAAGAAAAAGAACATCTGTCAATGAGGGTGGGGAGACATACTAATGTGTAATCAAGGACCAGAGGTTGTGACCTGGCTGTAGTGTAGTGCTGGCCTGTCCTGTTATATAATCACTCACATGTCCTTACGGTCGGTGTTGTTGCGGAGGAGGGGATCCTGAATACTGACAATGTGTTTCTGTTTTCATTCGGTATGTTAATGTCATTAATTTTTCAAATAGTGATCATGTATAGTGTATTGAGTTATTGTGTATCAAGTGCTTGCACTCAAGGCCACAGTGCTCACTTGCATTGTATAAGTCTCACAATATTGTGAAGATAAATGGTTACATGTCATTGTTATCTGGGTTGTTGTTTGTTTGTTGTGCACTGATGTGCTTTATAGAGGAGTAACGTAATATTCACTTGGATTAATATGAAGTGAACCTTTTGTTTGGTTGCCTCATCATCTTTCCCCTGATGTTTCAATCCCCACTCAGTGAATTTTGATGAAACACAGACATGGTGTGCAGCATGTTCATAATCACATTATTGCAATTACCATTACGTATTTGACTGTTAAGAAACTTAGGGAAATGTTGTGTCTCCCTAGTGTGTAGTATAACACCTTCATTGTTTGGTGAAGGGGATTGTTATTGGCTAAAGATGACACATTTAAACCAGTAACATGGTATTACAATAACATTTCCTAGACTTATACAGTAAGAAATATTTTGTCCATCATAGAAAATGTGCTTTGGATGGCAATGGAATAATGAGGTGACATACAGGGGTAAGTTAGGCTGATATATCCTTAAATGCAGATAATTTAAAAGAATTCACTCATCCCATCGCATTCTGTTTT